TGTTTGTTTGGTTAGGTCGGCTCAATCAGACAACTTCTGAAACGAGAGCCTTGTGCGAGCTCTGGACAAGCGCAGGGAGCGCTTAAGGCTCCATTAATCGAGTCTGCAGTACACATCTTGTCTTCAGCCTGTCTGCTGGCAAGATGATAAAAGCGAGATGCAGATGTTTTTCTTACACGCTAAATTAGTTAATAAATCATATTCGTGAACGAGCTCCGGCTACAGTGTCAAGACATCTGTTAGAGGGAAGACTCGGATTGCTTTCCGAGCTGAGATAGCTGCTTCTGATCAGGGCCCGCGTGGCACAGACCTGAGAGGTTCGGGTGGGGCCTCCGGCAGCTGACAAACACCCGCTTGCGGAGGGGCTGCCGGCGAAGTGCGCACCTGATATCCAGGACAATTACAGCGAGGGCCAGAGGGCCAGCTCCGCTTCCTGTTGGCTAATGAATCCTGCGCAGCCTCTAAGGCGCAGGGGCCGTGACACACGTGTGCGGACACGCGTGTGCATGCTCACGTGTGTGAGTTTTCAGTTGGCTCCCCGTGTGGAGATGGGGGATTTTCAGGACCAGCTGGGACCAGAGCGAGTCTGGGAAGCAGCGTTATAAAGGTCCCGCCTGCAACCCCCGCCCGTCTTAATAACTCATCTTCTGTACCTTGAGTTCCCAAAGCCAACAGATGCCTGTGGCCTCTTTCCTTGTCCAGGAGCCACCTGGGCCACCTGGACCTGGCTCCAGCAGTGACACAAGGAACATCTTCATCCATCTCTTAGCAAACCCTTCTTGAGAACCCACTGTGTGCCAGCCACAGTCCCTGGTCTCAGGGACCTCCCCACCTCTTGGGGAAAACACACAGGTAAAGAGGCAATGACCTTGGAATTTGCTAAGTACCTGAAAGGGGGTTGCCATGGCAACCCACAGGTGGTGGACTGGCTCCCACCTTGGGATGTGGTCCTGATGGAGGAGACCTCGCACTGCATTAGGATGAGGAGAGACTCTGAGGGTGCATCGTGGGGCAGGGTGGGGAGGGCGGGCTGTGCTGGGGGAGGGTGCGGGAGCACTGTAGGGAGAGGTCGCTGGGTGCTCAGTTCAGCTATGGCTGGACCGTAAAATGGGGGTGGGGAGCAGAGGGGGAGACAGAAGCGCCGAAGGGGAGTCCAAGGGGCTACCAGGCATCGTATGTGCTGCTTCTGGGTTTCTCCTTATTTTGCCGTCAGAGCTGAGGCTATGGAGATCCAGGCAAGACGTGAGGAAGGCAGTCTAGGGCAAGGCAGTGGTGCCGAAGGGCAACAGATGCAGCGGTTCCTAGGTGATGGAATCGGTGGGACGGGGTGACTGCCGAGTCGTGGGGAGATGAGCCTCAAGGAGGCTGGGGGAAGGGCGGGAGGCCGGCCTTTGTTCTCGGCGTCTGAGGTACTGACTCTCTAACCTGTGGGCCTCTCTCTCCTTCCCCAGTCAGGGCTCCACCTGCCCATGTCCCCTGAGTTAGCTGGGGCATAGGTGGGGCTTCCCCATAGTCTCTGCACAGCTCCTGGGGTCCCGGGGGCAGGGATTGGTCATGTTGAAAGGCTGACCGTAACCTGGAATTACAGAGTTCCAGAGTCAGTCATTGCTTCTGCCTGGCAGGATGCATTTGAGGGAGGATGGGCTGAAAGCACGTGGGAAGCATCAGGTACAGCACCCCCAGGTAGTAGGCAGTTTAGCACCTGCAGTTAGTAGGTGGTACAGCACCCGTAGGTAGGGGCTCAGTCAGTATCTCCTGGTGACCAGTCTGTGGCGTTATCCTGCCCTCACTGCGACTCCCCCAGCCGGGGCCGCACCATCTTCAGCTTTTGAGCCTCCCTGGATTCCATGCTCACCCTGCAGCCCAGACCCCTCCCAGCCTAACTTGCCCACCTGCCTACCTGTCCCAGTTGGTCTCATTGGCTGTCCTTCGTTATCTCCGGGAACGTTCACCATGAGTGCCCCCAAGCCACCCGATAGAAGCCCTGTCTGTCCCGCTTGCTCTCTGCCCTGCAACATGCTGCCTAACCCCCCTAGTCCATCTCAAGTCTAGCTTCTGTCTTAATCTCTTACCCCAAGGCTCTTTCCCGTGACTCCTGTAATGCATGACCTGGGCTGCGTGCTGACTTTCACTTCTCAGCTGAGCACTTTGCTCACTGGGAATCACTGCTGCTC